TTCATGAAAAACAAGCCTGCAGGAATTGAAAGAATACCCCCTGAGATGTTAAAACAAACACATCCAGGTCTGGAGGCACTTACTCGTTTATGTCAAGTAATTTGGCCAACTGACTGGAAGAGATCCATATTTATGCCCATCCAAAGAAAGGTAATTCAACAGAATTGAACATTATTATTGTTATTATTGAACAATGTGATTAATATCACACACAAGTGAACTTTTGCTGAAGATAATTAAAAAATGGTTACTGCAATATATTGACAGGGAACTGCCAAAAGTTCAAGCTGGATTCAGAAGGGGGAGTGGTATGAGAGATATCACTGCTGATGTCATATGGATCTTGTTTGAAAGCAAAGGCATTCAACTGTGTGGATCATAAGAAATTATGGATAACATTACCAAGAATGGGAATTCCAGAACACTTAACTGTGCTCATGAGGAAACCTGTACGTAGACCAAGAGGCAGTCATTCAAACAGAACAAGAAGATGCTTCATGGTTTAAAATCAGGAAAGGTGTACGTCAGGGTTGCATCTTTTCACCATATTTATTCAATCTGTGTGCTGAGCAAATAATCTGAGAAGCTGGACTGTGTGAAGAACTCAGCATCAGAATTAGTGGAAGACTTGCTGAAAGTGAAGATTACTTGAATCACTTACTGATGAAGATCAGTTACTGTAGTCTTCAGTATGGATTATACCAACATAAAAAAAAAAAAAAAAAGCAAAAATCCTTACAACCAGTAAGCAACATGATAAACAGAGACAAGATTGAAGTTGTCAGGGATTTCATTTTTTTGGGGATCCACAATCAGTACCCATGGAAGCAGCAATCAAGAAATCAGATGTATGGAATTGAGCAAATCTGCTGCAAAAGACTTCTTTAATATGTATGTTTATGAGGAAAGAGATCACTGTGAAGGCTAAGGTGCACCTGACCCAAATCATGGTATTTTCAGTCACCTCATACGTATGTGAGAGAGAGCTGGACAATGAATAATGAAGACCAAAGAAGAAATGATGCCTTTGAATTGTGGTGTTGGCAAAGAATACTGAAAATTCCGTGAACTGCCAGAAGAATGAACAAATCTATCCTGGAAGAAGTGTAGCTAGAATGCTCCTAGAAGTGAGAATGGCCAAACTTTGTCTCACCTACTTTGGTCATGTCAGAAGGGATCATTCCCTGTAGTGAAAAAGGAGAAGACCCTCAAGAAGATGGGTTGACACAATGGCTGCATCGATGGGCTCAAGCATAAACAAGGATTGTGAGGATAGTGCAGGAGTGGGCAGTGTTTGGTTCTGTTGTACATACTCGACAGCACCTAACAACAGATACAGCTTTAGCTACATCTTCCAAGCCTGTTATGCCTAGCATTCTGAAAACTTTCCTACAGAAAAGTTGGAAGAGTTTTACAGTAAACACCCATTTATTTACTTCCCACCTAGATTCTGCTGCTAGCACCTTACTTGTTTTATCACTATCTGTTCATTAGCCATTCTTCTGTATCCAGCCATCACCCATGTCACTTTTTTATGCCTTCCACAATGAGTTGCAGGCATCAGTACTCTTTCCAGCATATGATCCAGAGTTCAATATATATATATTTTTTTTTAACTTAAATTTACATCCAATGAAATGCAAATCTCAAGTGGTCCTTTCAGTGATTTCTGACAAATGCATACACCTCTGCAGTCAAAACCCCTGTTAGGGTGTAGACCATCCCTGTCTCCCAGAAGCCCCCTGGGTCCCTTCCCCCTGCCCCACAGTCCCAGAAGTCACACTGCTCTGACTGGTTTGTCCATAGCTTTGTTTTGTTTGCTGTAGACTTCATATAAATGGAAACCTGCAGGATGTATTTTTCTTTTATCTTGGTTCTTGTGTTCAGCATAGTGTTTTTGAGGTTCCTTCATGCTGCATGCAGCAGCCGCTCATGCCTTTGTATTGCTGAGAAGTATTTCATTTTTTGAATATATTGCTTGATATCCACTCTTCTATTGATGGATACCTGGGCAGTTCCCAACTTTAGGAACTATGGAGAAGGCTGCTGTGAACATTCTTTACAAATCTTTTTGTGGGCATATGTTTTCATTTCTCATGGGTTAGTACTTGGGAATGGAATGCTGGGTCAGAGGGTAGGTGTATGTTTAATTTTATCAGCAACTGCCAGACGCTTTTCTGAAGTGGTCAGACATCTACACTCCCACCAACACTGGGTGAGGATCTTTGTAGTTCCACATCTTTGCCAGTGTGAGGTGGTATCTCTCTCTTTAACCTTGGCTGTTCTGGTGGGTGTGAAGTGGTAGCTCATTGTGATTTTACTTTACTGGCCATGAAAAAGTACTTTCATGTGTTTTTTTTTTTTTTTTTGCCAATTTGTATATCATCTTTAGTGGTCTATTCATATCTTTTGCCCATTTTATTCATTAGGCTGTTCATTCTTTTATTATTGAACTGTAGAAATTCTTTATATAGCCTAAATACCTTCTTTGTCAAATGTTTTCTTCCCGACTTTGGATGACTTGCCTATATATTTTCTTAGAGATGTTTTTTGATGAGCAGAAACTTAATTTTGAGAAGTCTAATTTTTTTTTTTCTATATAGTTATTGCTTATTTATATTTAAGAAAATGTAACAATAACTATAAGAATCAGCACCAACCTTCTTTCTGTGAAATGGAGGTGAAATATACCCCTGTTCTCCAATTTCTATACCATTTCTGACACTAGCCATTCCCTTCCATGGCACTCTTTCTCTATTGAGTTTGATCATTCATTGGAACAGTCACAGGGAACTCATGGAAACAACATAATTATAATAGCAACTGTAGTAATAGAAAAGCATAAACAAAGATATACAAAGAGCAAGGTTTGTGAGTGGTACCAGTTTGGAACCTCAGTGTCTAAAGGGATCACTTACTTCTCAGATGGGAACCACATATCCTAACCGAAAACCAGTGATCATTGTCACCCATTGTGAAACTTTCAAACAGGAAACTCAGTGACTTCATTTGGCAGACTTGGCTATTGGTTGCTCTTCTCAGCTTTCGGGTGGGGTTTGGTCTTTATACTCTGCTGCCACCATCTGAGTCTGTTCACTGTCTCTGCTTTTTCTGGTACTGGCACACTGCTGCCTCCATGCTGTCTGCTTTGTGAGGTGACTTGCCTGCCACAGCTATCTCTCCGGGTCTTCAGTGTTGCAACCCTTGACCCATATTACTGTTCTTGTATTTGGATGCAGGAGCTTCTTAATGCAGAGATCCCATATCCAAAGGATATGTTCTTCTCCTAGCTTTCATTAATCAGGAAGCCCCAAAAAACCTCTGTGAAATTGGCCATACATAGGGGCTGTTGTTGTTAGGTGCTGTCAAGTCAGCTCTGACTCATAACAACTGTAGTATAACAGAACAAAACAATGCCCAGTCCTGCCCATCCTCATAGTCTTAGATAATGTTTCACTGCTATATAATGCAGGATTTCATAAAACCTGTGGGGCATCCCTCCCTGGTAGACAAGTAATTTGTTTTTGGAACTTAGTCTCTTAGAAATGCCTTCTCAACTCTTGTTAGAGACCATTTGAATGCAGTGCTTGGTGCTCCAGATAATTTGCTGGGGACCTGGGCTTGTGATGCAGATGGCATGTGGTTGGCACATGACTTGCTGAGCCGATGCTCTGGGTGGCAAGTGCTGGTGGCTGTGCTGAGTTTTGCCCATAAGGCAAAATTAAAAAAAAGGGCACAGTGTTTTTGCTTAGCTCCTCCAGCAGCTGTTGTCCTGTCTCTACCACATGGTCATCACTGCCATCCTCTTCTGGTCCTACATCCTGTCTCTCTCTCTCTGTTGAATTCTCTGAACACTGTGCATTGTCATTGTCTCTGCACCCCAGTCTAGTACAGCTAGTCACTGCAGGTGGCTCAGTCATTGTGCTTGGGGCAGTCACAGGTGGGCTTATGGTGTTACTGGCTAACAGGGAAAGACTGCCTCTCTCTGTTCTCCATCCCTGACTTCTGGCCATATTTGGATGCTATCTCATGCCATCTTGGTGTTATCCTGGAGGAGGGAGACTGATCTGAGACCTGCAAGTATGAAGAACATGTTTGAGCACATGGGCTTTATTCACAATTCTGATGACTAAACACATTTGTAAATGCAAATCAAGTCCCAAGGCTTGTTTCTAGTCCAGTTACAGATTCAAGTCCCTTTTCAGGTGCAGAGGCTGAGGTTCTTTCTGTGTCATCCCCATGCTCTGCTCAATTGGACACAGCCCCTGTACCCATATCCATAGCCTGTACTTGGCTTTGGGACCTCACCACTTTCTACCTCACATTATCCCCCCAGGGTAGTACTTATTCCCTCCTCTGGACAACTCCCCTAGATGCACAAGGCGCGGGATCCTCCCTTGGTGCTCGTTTTAACTGCACAGGAGCAAAGGAGGCCATGGCTCTCTCAGCGAGTGACTCAGTGACTGAAGTCCAGACCCTTCTTTCTATGTTTGTCCTTTTGCTGTCTTCTTTGTGCCTGTGTGGGGCTCCCACTTCCTTCTGCCCACCCCACATGCCCAGGCCACTATTTCAGCCTCCCTTTTCAAAAGGAAAAATCCTCAATGCTTCTAGCTCTGGTCTTATGATCAACCCTGTAATTAAAACATGTGCTGAGATCTGTGATTAAGGGAAAAAATAACTTGGAGCTAGTTGCCTCCCAGGTTTCCAGGGGTGGGGTGTAGGTGACAGCAGGAAAGGAGAACACGATGGCCTGCTTCCAGCAGGCTCATGATGGGAGCCAGCACCAGAGAAAGCAGGGCCAGTGTTGGGGCTCAAGTGGAGGGGAAGAGGGCATCTAGCACTCTCACTTGCTTGGCATCCCCTATGCCTTGAGCAGGGCTGGGCATTGTGGCCCTTGCCCACTCAGCTTCATGGCCTACCTCCTCTGACAGGTACTCAGTGAGTGCATATCATATGGTTTCTGTTCCTCTAACTTCCTTTTCCCTCCCTTTCCCCCTCAGAGATAGAAGCCATCAAGCTGGCTGAGCAGAAGCGCTGGGAGGCACAACGGCGGAGGGCCACGGAAGTGGTGGGGGACTTGCGCCCACTGATGGAGGCGCTACCTGAGTTGGCAGAACTAGAGAACAGCAGTGGCTTGCGGCAGCCCAGGAGGCAAGTATGGTGTCCTTTTGTATCAGGAGGCAAGTATAAGGCTGCTCCTTTATAGGCTGCTTACCAACTGAGCCGTGCATGTACTGGCTTACTTGTGTTCAGTGGAGAATGAATGGTAGAGGAAACGGCCAAGGTCCTGGCAGTGCTGACCGCATGGAGACTGATTCTTATCAAATACCTGCACTCCTTCGACTGAGGCCTAGCTACCAGGAACCAGGAGTCAGGTGGCATCTCCATCACATGAAGCTGGGAAGGCAGGATGTGTTAGGAGTGCCTGGCCTACTACTCGTAAACAGGAGAGTGATCAGTTTGGTGAGGTGGCCCAAGCTGACTCCACTCTCATGGCCTTCTTCTGATTGGGAATGGCCATCCTGGCCCACCCTTCCCCTAATGGGTTCTGCTCCTTCCACCTCCCCATCCACACTTCAGTGGGCACACTGGCTGCTCTGTCCTGGTCAGGGCCACCATCTGCTTCCTGGGCCTGGTACCCTCTCCAAGTACCCCCATCATCTCTGCCCTTGCCTCTCTCAGAACAAGACTCAAATGGATTTTCCCACTGAAACTTCCTGTCTGCCTCATCTGGTCCTGCACATGCCTCCCCTCCTATGGCTCCTCCTCACCACACACTGCCTTTCTGTTCTGATCCTTGCTCATGTCCCTGCATGGTCAGGGCCTCGGCCTCTCTGCTTTCTACCCTCCTGCCCTCTGGCCCAGTACAACCTATGTACTTTAGGGGTTCCATAAGTAGGTAGATGGCTTGTCCACACCGACAGGGCCACAGGGCTTGTGCTGATTGAATGCAACGGGGCAGTTGTGTTTCCTTGCTGGAGTGGAATGGTAATGAGGAGTATGTATCTGCAGCTGTTCCTGCAGGCTGCACTTCCTTCCTTCAGGCTTCCTTCCTTCCACAGAGGTGCATACACACACTGTTCTAGCCAGAATTTTCACCTGGTTCATTCGTTTTGTTTTAAACTTTTTATTGTGAATTGGGTGAATTTTACAAAGCAGTTTCATTTCATATTCAACAGCTCATGAACATTGTGACACTGATTACATTCCCCACAGTGTAATAGCTCTCCTCCCAGTTCTTCCTTGTGGTTACCCTTTCCTTGTGTCCTTCTTGCCTATGCATTTCTGCCTCCTGTGCAAATACTGCCCTCTGATCTCCCATGGTTGATTGTTCTAAATAGAGCATCTCCTGGTGTAGTTGTTTGGCTCAGAGACCTATCTGTTTTTTGGCTGAGAGTTAAGCCACAGGAGTGAGTTCAGTTCCAGACCTAAAGGGTGACTTGGAGCCATCGTCTTAGAGGTTCCACCAGTCTCTAGCTGACCAGTAAACCTGGTCTTTTTTTATGTTTTTTAAATTTTGTTCCACATTTTTTTCTCCCACTCTATTAAGGATCTCCAATTTTGATTCCTTTCTGAGTGGTTAGTGTTAGTAGTTGGGTATCATCTAGTTCTTCTGGTCTCAAGGTCATACAGGCTGAGGTTCTCATGGTCCATTAGTCCTCTGGACTGTGTGCTTGCATCTTTGATGTTCTTCATTTGTCTTTGCTCTAAAAGAGGAATCTGGTTCATTCTTAAAATGTCTTGGGATAAAAAGCTGACATCTTCCTATCACTGAGCTCTCCCAGCTGCCAAGGCTGGGGATACCTGGACATACCAGCATGTTCCCTTTACCTATTACTGAGAGCTGGTTGTGGAGGGGCCCTGCCCTTGAATGAATGAGCCAAGGCCAGGCTGAACCCTCCTCACAGGGCACCTAGAACACCAGGCAGGCCGCTGGCAGGAGAGAGCCACAGCTCAATCTGTCCTGAGGCTTTGTGGTGATGCTGGTGGCCAGCCATCGCTTGTGCAGGCTCCCAGAGTGACCAGTGCAAGAACATTTGTGCACAGCATGTTCATCCAGCCACCACACCAATGCTGTTGCTTCCCTGAATTTGGGGACACAACATGCTGCTGTTTGTGGCTTGCCCAGAAAGCTTTTCTCAAGGGCTTTTCTGCCTCTAGGCTGCTGTCTCCATAAATGAAAGTGCCATGGGGCCTGGCCCTTGAGGGAGGAGCTGCCCCCAGGTGCTCAGACCTCAGCTTTCCAGGAACAAGCAGGACAGACGCTGTGGGGCATTCTGTTTTGATCATAGTTTCTGGACTTTAACATTTATTGCTGTTGACTCTAATTTTGCCTTTTAAGAAGTAATTCTCTCTGGCTGAAAGCACCAAATCCCATGCAGAGCCTGCTCAAGCTCCACCTGAGCCCTACAGGATGAGACCTCTCAGCTTCAGGGCACAGGTGATGGCTCAGGGTCAGCCCAATCTGCTCCCTGTCCAACCCCCGTGGGTGAGTGACTCCCATCATAAGATAGGAGAGGAAGGCTCTGTGGGGTGGAACCAGACCAAACATTTGCCTGTGTGAGGAGGAGTGGCCACCCTGAGTTGAGATTGACAACTGAACGCGAGCCTGAGATGCACATTCCATTTTGGGTCCTCAAACAAAAATGTGACCCTGGTCAAGTGCACATATGTGTTTTTCAGTTTCTCATCTGAAAAATGTCCTCCAGCTCCCATGGGAGAGAGCTGCGTAAACACCGCAGTCAGCCCGGCTGGGGCAGGAATGCGTATGGGGCCCTGGGCTTCTGAGTGTGGGACTTTGGCTGTGGTTGCTCATGCTGTCTCTGGTCAGGCTGGGGGTGGCCCTGACTGGTCTCAAACTCTGTGATCCCCTGGATGTGGCTGTGGTGCCTCACTGAGAGGTCTCATAGCTGTCCTAGGGGCCACAGTGTCTTCTCACATGTGTCTCAGGTGCTGGGAAAGCTGATTGTTGGTTGGTTCATTTGATTTAATAAACATTTTATTTTATAATAGTTTCAGATTTATAGAAAAGTTGGAAAGATGGTACAGAGGGTTCTTGTACAATGTTCGCCAGTTTCTTTTATTATTATGAATAAAATATCAGGTCTTAGTATAGTGTCACACGAATGAACCAATATTGATACATAAATAATAATCAATTTAAAGTAATAATTTGCTAAAGCCCATGCTTTCTTCAGATTTCCTCAGTTTTTCACTGATGTTCTTTTTCTACCCTGGGTCTCATCTAGGAAACCACATGACGTTTAGTCCTTATGTCTCCTTAGGCTGTGCTTGGCTGTGACAGTTTCTCAGACATTTCTTTGTTTTTGATGACCTTGACCATTTGGAGAAGTACTCCTGGTCATGTAGTTTTAGGACTCCTCTCAATTGGGATTTTGTGCACTGTTTTTTATCATGATTAGACTGGAGCAGTGGCGTTTTGGAATCACGGAGGTGAGGTGCCATTTTCATCACATCATGTTAAGAGTGGTACAGCCCGTCGATAGGACTCAGCACTGTTGATGTTGACCCTGACCACCTGGCTGAGGTCTTGTTTGTCAGAATTCTCCACTCTGAAGGTCTTCTTTTTCCCCTTTCCCACAGTGAACATTTTGGGAGGAAGTCACTATGAGCAACCCACACTTAAGGAGTTGAAAGTGATGCGCCACCTCTTTGAGAGCAGAGAATCTACAGGGATATTTGAAATTCTTCTGCATGGGAAATTTATCTCTTCTCCATTTATTCAGTTGTTTATTTATATCAGGGTTGGACTCATGGATAGTCAGTCATTCCATACTTTGGGTTATAATCCACTATGTCTGTTTATTTTGTTGCTTAGGTTGTTCTAGCTTTGGCCATTGGGAACTCTCTGTTGGCTACTGTGCCCCTTTGACATACTACCCCATTTAGTGTGTGTGAAAGAGAGATAGCACTTCTTTACTTTTTGGCATTACAGGATGCTCCAGGCTCACCTTGTACATTTCCTGCCCTAGTAGTAGATCAGCTATTTCTCCAAAGGCCCAGATTCCCTATATTGGAGACTAGTATCAGAAACCAAGATCCGGGTGCTTGGTGTGCTCATTGTTACTAGGGTGTTACTGCTTCTAGGCCCTTTCAGATGACAGAAGTATCTGTGTGTAATAACTTTAGTTAGTAATAATTACTATAATTATATTAAATATATAATATAATTATAAAAAGTAATGTAACCTTCTCTGTATTAAGTTAAAACATGAGTTGCTACTGTTTTCTCCAACCCTAATCCATCACCACATGCATCATTCTAGCCACCTGTCCTTGCTTATCCCACTCCAGCAGTGAAAACCTCACCACCATCTGTGTGTGTTTGATCCCAGTATGTGTGGTCAAGTATCAGAACTGTTAACTTGTGCCCCCACGGAACATGACTTTATATCTTACATGCAGTTCCTTTTGCTTTTAGTTCAGACTCCACTCATTTCCAAAGTTGTTATATCTTTTGCAAAAACTATTTTTAGGGAGCAGAATCAGAGCCTTCACCTGTCACTGGGCTTTGTTACCCAGGTATGTAGCCTCATTCATTACCTTCACCTGGCCTCAAGGAGTAGGGATCTGGCTTCAGACTGTATCACCTTGGCAGAAGGCAAATTTTTCCCACTGGAGTAGGATCTGAGGTGTAGGCCTGGGCTCCAGCCTGCTTAAAACCTTCTGGAGATTCCCATGTGGTCTTCCTGAGACTCACAAGCTGAGCTGGCTGATCTGTGATGTCTGCACCCATGTTCTGGCTCTTTGCTGAGCACAGTAGACAGTGGAACAGGAGAGATGCACACGGGAAGAGGCCCTGCACAGAACCATCCCACTAAGCTTGTTAAGTCTGACCATCACCCAGTGTTGTGGCTTTGGAAACTGGCCCTTGCTTTTTTGACAAGATGTCTGTGGTGTCAATATGATCCCAAGAAAAAGGGATCATTCATGGGTGACAAGTGAGTAAGCAGAGGCAAGGATCCAGGTAAAGCCAGGGACCCAGGCCAGGGCCCTCCCAAGCAGTGGGAAAGCAGAGAAAAAGCTGGGGGGAGGGGCAGGACAGAGCGAGCAAGCAGAGGCAGGGATCCAGGTAAGGCTGGGGGTCCCAGGCCACACCCCTCCCAAGCAGCGTGAAAGAGAAAAAGCCA